TACAGGATGACAGAATTATGTAATCGTGTCAGCGTCACCATGCTGGGGGCGGGGGTAGGTGAAGCCGAAGAAGAAGGAGCCCCACAGGTCACATGCTCCCACATGGCAAGCTCCCCTTTCGCCCTGCTGGCAGTTTCCTCACTCCTGCCCCTCCACCCAGCCCCCTCACTCACCAGCTCCAGCTCAGTCCCCGCCCCGCTCTCCCCTGCAGCAAGGAGCTGGCTCTGGCACTCCAACCTTGCCCCCCCCCCAGGTTGAAGCACCAGCGCTGGCTTCCTGTGGGGAAAAGGGGGAAAAAGGACCAAACCTCCCTGCTGGATCTGACTTGCCGGGAAACAGCTGCTCATGCTGCCCCCAGCCTGCTCTGGCACCCCCCTTGTTCCTGCACCCTCCCCCATGGCCAGACACCCTGCTCCCAGCCCACTCCCGCACCTTCTCTTGCTTCTGTACCCTTCTCCATGGCCAGACACCCTGTCTCCAGGTTGTTCCTCCACCCCCCTTGCTCCTGCATCCTCCCTCCTGGACAGATACCCTGCTCTCAGGCTGCTCCTGTCTCCTCCCCTGTGACCAGACATCCTGCTCCCAGCCCACTCTTGCACCCTCTCTTGCTCCTGCATTCTCCCCCTGGACAGACACCCTGCCCTGAGCCTGCTCCTGCCCACTTCCCCTGGCCAGACACCCTATCCCCAGCCTGCTCCTGCATCCTCCCCCAGCCAGACACCTATCCTACCCTGCTCCTGTACCTATCCCTGCTCCTGCACTGTCCCCCCGGCCAGACTCTGTATCCTCACCCCCTCCTGCACCTTACATCCTACCTAGATCTCGCACTCTTACCTCCTCCTCCACCCCATCTCCCATCCAGATCCTGAACCCCCATCCCTATCCCACTCACTGGCACAGACAAGATTGGGGGCATCTGCAGCTCCCGCCTCCCTGGAGCACCGGGGAAGGCGGAAGGAGAGGCCGCACAGCTCCCATCTCCCCACAGCACCGGGGAGGGGTCTGGAAGGAGGCCCTGTGGCTCTTGCCTCCCTGGAGCACCAGGGAGCGGGGAAGGGTGAAAAGGCCACGTGGCTCCCATCTCCCTGGCTTCCGGTGTACACAGGGGGCAGGCGCTGGGGGCAGCAACACTCCGCACCCAGAACACCTGCAGCAGGCGTTTGAGGGTGGAGCGATTCCGCTTCCCCTTCTCACTCTGCCAACAGTGATGACGTAGTGACGTCATTCTGTCATCTGGCAGGAAAAGCTTTTTTATACCAAGAGATTAATCATTATGTTCATTATCAATAACATTAAGTTGCATATTTTCAGTCTTGCAAATGGGCATTCTTACATGGCTCTTTGTTCTGAATTTTGATGTAGTTTGGCTCTTTGGTTTGCAAAGGCTGCCGACTCCTGCCCCAGAGAGATGGGGGTTGGTGAACGTAGCGAGAAGGGGGCGTAGTCCCTTAGTAAAATGCTATGTAGGTTCTTTGTATAAATCATTTCGGCAGCTGCAAGAATGCAATTTGTGCAAAACAAAGTAACTAGTTTTCTCTCTCCAGAGAGACAGCAAACATAGTCAGATGGGCTCTGAGCTCATGCTGATTAATACATTTTCCTCCTTTAGTCTTCATTTCCATGCAGCTTTGTTGACTTCTCCTCCCCCCCTTTATTATTTTCCTGAGGGTGAAACGGTTTTATTGCTTGCTCCTGTTGGTTATTTTATTTTCAGGATGTTTTTTTTTTACAAGCAGAGATATTTTAATTTCCTTCAGTTACCAAGAGTCCCCATAGAAATGGAAGATTCAAATGAGCTCCTTCTCCCTTCCCCCACCAAGCCATACGTGCAAAAAGATGAGTATTGTCAACAGACGCGATGGAGTGGCAAATGCAAAGCGTTTTTTCATTATGTAAGGGAGACTCATAGGAATATTAAGTGAGCAAGGGAGAAAAAAGAAAAGAAAAATACCCCAGGACTGGGTAGCCAAGAAAGGTTCATAAAAGTCAGTTCAGTTATTTTTTGGTACATTACTGATCATTTTGCAAAGGGACTGGTGCTACTGTGACAATCATTAAATAGGAGAGAATTAAAAAGATGGAATGATCCAACACTTTAAGAAACCTGAACAATGCATTAAAAATGAATGAACTCACTGAAGTGTGTGCGCGCATGCTGCCCTCTATTGGACAGATGCAGACGTGCTCAACTATGTGTCATAAAATCTTCTACAGCTAACAGAGGTTCTCCTGTAACTGAAAGGGAATGGGACGCTGGGTTTGTGGCACATAAGGATCCAAGATCTCTGCTCACTGTATTTATGACACTGCCAAGCTAAAGCGCTCTATAGAATTATGATAATACTGGGGCCAATTTTTTAAAAGTACAAATCTCACTACTTACATATGGATACTGCCACTAGTACACCTGCAGGGGCAAGTGCCAGTGGGTTTGAGCATATGGCCTCATATACCAAGGCATGTCCTCAGATTCACAGGGCCCTAAAGGAAGCATCTCTTTTGGCATGCTGAGCAGCCTTAGCGCTCCTACAGAAATCAATGGGAGCTCATGGTGCTCAGCACCATACAGGATCAGGCCCTTAATTATTATATTGATGCCCAGTGACGGGGTGAGGCCAGAGGGAGAGAAAGCGTCAACCTCATGGAAGTGCCATTTCTGCAGAAATGTTTGTAAGAACCAAGACATCTATAAAGCTGTGCCTGCAAGAAAACACAACACCCCTGCCTGCATCCCACCTGCAAATGGTCCATTTCAGGTGTTTAATTAGCTTGAATGTCCCATCTGGGAAACTTAAGGAACTCAAGCACACAGAGACTGAGGTCACACAGGAAACCCATGAGCTATGGCAGACCAGAGAGTTAAACTCAGGACTCCCAAGCTAGTGTCTTCATGACTGGGCCTTCCTTCCACCCCATATGCACTGCAGAAGTCCAGGAAAGGGACATGTTGAAATGAGCCTTCTGTCCATAAAGAAAACCACATAAGCCACCCACATTAGCAAATGAATACATCCTAATACAAGCTCGACTGGACAAACCGATGCCCAATATATAGGCAGAGAGTATCTATTTTCCCATTAGAATCTTCCTTTCTCTGCTCCTTTCTTTTGAGCGGTGCATGAATCTGGTAACAGTCACCTGGCTGTTGATCTTTTGAACCAACAATATTTGAGTGGATTAGAAGTCAGTCAAAAAAGAATCCATCTCACTAGTTTCTAATGATCACCAGCCTATTTCTATCAGCTGATGCCAGGTTTGCAAAGAGCACAAGGACCAGGAGCTTTTAGGGAAGAATTCTTTGGTGCATGGGTCTAGGATTACATTCAGTTCTGAACCTAGCTATCTAAACCTCTTTCATGGGTCCCCTTCTAAACTCACTAACCCACCATTGTAGCCCCTCTCCTGGGTCTCATAATATTGCATTCTGCAGACCTCCATGACAAGCTGCCCCTCTCGAAGGTGGCCCATGGCCTGCAGTTTGAGAGGCATTGCTTTATTTAGAGCCAATTTTCCTTTTTGGCTCTGATATAATTCCACAGGGCCCTCCTGCCTTCTTCAGTGCCCACAGAGCAACAGACTTGCCGTCTACATTGCAACTGGTTCTCACTGGCTGCCCCATTCACATCCTGGCGTAGGCTGGGTTACCAACATTTGTATGTGCCTTAACTACTTCCTGGTGCCTGTCTGAAGAGCAGTGCTGCACCACTCCAAGTCCCAGAGTCCAGTAACTAGAAAAACACAGTGGTGAGGTCAGAAGACGGTGAGCCAAGAGTGTTGGTTTTATTCCCAGCTCTACCATCGCTTTGCTCTATGAACTGAGCCAAGTAATTTAATTCCTCTGGGTTTTAAAAACCCAATGTTTAAATCTAGGAGAATGATACATATTGACCATTGCAAAGTGCTTTGGGATGGTAGATGAATGGTGACTCCTCCAGTGCAAACTATCTGGTAACTGGTATTATCCAGAGTAAGGTTTTAAGCTGAATTTGAAAAAGGGTCTAGGGACGTCAGATACCAAAATCCCACTGAAATTCAAATTCCCTTTGGCTCCTCACCCTTATTCTTACACCCTTGTAGTGTGTGTGAGGGTGGGACAATGGGACCCTACGATGGTTGCGAAGTCACCCAAAGGCTCACGTGATGAGGCGTCCTGTGGCACCTTATAGACTTACAGATTTATTGGAGCATAAGCTTTCGTGGGCAAAGACCCACTTCGCCAGATACATCAAAGGCTCACGTTGGTCATAGGGTGCAGACCATTTAGACTAGAAGCAGGGACACTTTGTTTAAAATGGCAACCCACTGCATATGCTTCAGTCTTGCCTCCTCCGGGGATCGGTGTGTGTGTGTGTGTGTGTGTACAATGTAAAGATGTACAATCCCATAGTGCAGAACAACAGGGAAGAAGGCAATAGATCTACCTCCAGAGGGACCTACTGTGTTAGCCAGAAAGGAGAGCAGCACCTACGGTGGAATATTTAGGCCTGGTCTAGAGAAGATCCAGGCACACACAATGTCCCTTGGGGTAAGGAGTTGAGCCCACTGGAAACAGCAAGACTCTGTGGTCCTTTACATTCTGGCAACCTATGAATGGGACTGCTGCCTGCCCTACAGCCTGGAGCCATATAGTTTGGAGACGGAACAAAATCTCCTTGCAGGGGGACCACTGTTAACATCCTCCTCCTCTAAGAAGCTTCTGTCTCAGAGCTTTTTACACCGGTCCCCTCCTGGTGCTTATACAAAAGAAGCTGTAATGAAAACTGTCCTAAGTACACGGACAGGCTTAAATGATTTTCTAAGGCCCATTCAAATCCTTGGCTTTTCAGCAGAGGCTGCCAAGCAACCATCAGCTTGTGACCATATTTGTCACTTCTGTCCCAGGTTGGATCCAGACTGCTGCTTTAGCTAGGATAGGCCCCACTGCCAAGCTCCCCATAGCCATCTAGTCTCCCAGAATTAATTCACTTTCAAACAGGCTTGACAATGGCTCCAGTACTTACCATCACTATGTTGGCCAGATGGGCAGAAATGAGTGCGTAAACCCCTCCAGAGGAACCCACCACAGGCGCAGTCATGTCAGCTACCGACACTGCCAGGGAACCTTGGGAGAAGAAAACGGCTAATTACAACTTGCTACTGATGGGAAAACTCTCCACCTGCACCCTCCCATATGCACTACAGAGTGCAGTCAACAACACTGGGGTAGGGGTATACATTGAAGCCAACTAAGCCCAGCAGCTCAGCCAGGAAAGAAACACACATTCTTTCATATCTACTTTAAAACTACAGTCAAATATATTTGCACACCCTTCCCACCCCTCACAGCCTAATACAGCATGAGGCAGCAATGTCTTGTTGCCTCTTTCGATTCAAGCAACTGGTCAAAGTTTGGAAACGTGGGAGCATTCGGGGTTGGAGTAGAAATTGGTGGTAGTCAGGTATTTCTCAGATATGGTTTGGTGTATTTATATCATATGTACAAAGCCCTATGCTTCTAAACATGGAAGGAATCAGGTAGCAGAAACGGCTTCTCTCGTTCACTGAAAGCACTCTGTTCAGCCAGTACCTGGACCCAAAACTTCCTTAGCCCCCATTTCTCCTAGTCCCACATTTCATCCAGTCACTGTGCTTGAAGCTGTTCTGTCTGTCTGTCTGTCTGTCTCTGTCAGTTGCTTTGTGTTCTGCCTTCTCTCCCAACACACATAAACACTCCTCAAACATTCCTGGGTAGATTCCCAAGCTCCTTTTGTCCAAGGTGGGCATCGGCCGACCATTAAGTCAATTGAAGGATCACACATCTGTCAACCTCCTACCTGTAAACAAAGGTTCACCCACCCCTTAACAGCATCTTAAAGTCTGTGCAAGCAGCAAAAGGAATCACAACTTGAGCTAAAATAGTGAAGAGCCATCTAAGAGATAAATGAGTCCCTGAATGGATAAAATGAAAGTGATTTTAGTCCTGGCAAGACAAACATTTGTGCAAAGAGGAAGAACTGGGGACTCACAACTTATCACTGGGTTCTGATTTAAAGGTGTACAAGTGCAGTCCATTACTTAGGAAGTTGCAAGAGCAGTGAAGGCTAAATCGAAGCTCAGATGGTGACAAATGGAGGCACAGAATGGAGCACAAAAGAGTTTAAATCCCAGAGATGACAAAAGGTGAATCAGTTGTAGAGGAGACAGTTTCAAGAAGGCAACAGGAAATCTAGATTGGATTTTAGGGAAGACTATTTCACTAGGGACAGGACTATGTAGCACTTTAAAGTAACAAGATGGTTTATTAGGTGATGAGCTTTCGTGGGCCAGACCCACTTCCTCAGATCAAATTGTGGAAGAAAATTGGCATGACCATATATACCAAAGGGATACAATAAAAAAAAGTGAACACATATAAAAAGGACAAATCAAATTTCAGAACAGAGGGAGGATGGGGGTTAAGGTTAATGTCTATGAGCTAATGATATTAGAGGTGATAATTGGGGAAGCTATCTTTGTAATGGGTAAGATAATTAGCATCTTTGTTAAGGCCCAGTCGTAAAGTGTCAAATTTAAGCATGAACGACAGTTCAGAGGTTTCTCTTTGAAGTCTTGTGTTAAAATGTCTTTGAAGCAGGATGCAGGTAGTCAAGTCATTGAGACAATGCCCTTTCTGGTTGAAATGCCTCATGAAACGAGGTTTCCAGGAGCGGTCGACAAAAGCTTCCCTTGTCGACCGATCAGCGTCTAGACTGCCGTGCTGTGCCAGATCAGCTGATTGTCAGCACAGCACGGCGACCATTTTCATTTGAATGAAGCGGGGATTATTTAAATCCCCGCTTCATTGACTATGTCAGGTAAACTAGTTTACATGGCTCTGTTGATGGAGCCATGTAGTCTAGACATACCCTAGGAGGGTGGTGAAGCACTGGGATGGGTTCCCTAAGGAGGTGGTGGAATCTCCATCCCTAGAGGTTTTTAAGTCCCGGCTTGACAGTGGAATGATTTGGTTGGGATTGGTCCTGCTTTTAGCAAGGGGATTGGACTCGATGACCTCCTGAGGTCCCATCCAACCGTACGATTCTATAAGTAACTTTCACATTTTTATTTACTCTTAATTTTCCAGTATGGAAAGAGTTTTCTTTAGATGGTTTGGGACGTTCCCACTTCACCATTGGGCATTGTGGGGGGGCCTAAAATATCTGTGTATCTGCTCCAGTTCTCTTTCATTGCCAGTATCACACAGAGACACTAAGGGTATGTCTAGACTGCATCTCTCTGTCGGCAGAAGGATGCAGATTAGGCAGGTCGACATTGCAAATGAAGTGGGGATTTAAATATCCTGTGCCTAATTTGCATTAAAATGGCCACCGTTTTTGCGGACTCAGCACTTTGTCGGCAAAAAGCAGCAGTCTAGAGGGGGATCTGTCGAGAAAGAAAGCCTTTTTTGACAGATCCTGTAAACCTCCTTGCAGGAGGCATAAGGGATTCACTTATCATGTGAGCTTGGGCATGTCACTCTGGGGCAGGCTGTGGTTCTTCCAGCTACAGTGGCCCTGGCATGTCTAGTGTTGCTAGGGGCACTGACACTCCACATCTTGCACTCAGGATATGAAGCACTGGGTGATGAAAGAAGGTGAAGGGTTCTCTGTCTTCTCATCCACCTTCATGCAACAGAACCCCCAATCTAACCATTGATATGCTTGTACCTCAGTTTGTCCAGTCTGTGAAATGGGTTTATACTCTGCCCTATATCACAGGGATGTTGAAAGCTTACATCACCAATGCACTGGGTGTGGGGCTAGGCCTTTGCAAAGCCTCCCATGAAAGATGTTCACGTTATTCTATCGATTGAATTCTTCACAGCAAGGGTTCTCTTTCCTATGCTTGACCCATGCCTGGCACAGCAGGGCCCCATCCCAATTGGGGCCTCTGAGCCTTACCAAAATAGACATAAATACAAACCATGCAACACTTGGCGCGTTTTGGTGGCTTCCCCCGAAGCCAGCCCCAGGCTCTCACCTCTCTCGAGCGGATCTGGGCTCAGTGCTAGGAGATGACAGGAAACCAGCTGGCTCATACCAAGCTTCGCTCTGAGTTCTTGAGTCATCTGAAATCTTCAGAGGCACAGTAATGCTGAGCTTTTCAATCATATCTTGGGTATTAGGTTCCAGCTGCCTAGGCTGGGAGACGTCCGGGAGAACAGCAACTGCTGCCTGCCTGGTAGTTAAACTCTCTTCCGTTAACGACTCTTTGTTCTCTCTTTAATGGAAGCGGGGACCCTGGCTTCCCCAGGGGACTCCGGCTGCGTGGGTTGTTCAGCCATGCTGCGGTTCTGCCAGCGCGCAGCATGTACTGCACATTAACCTTGCTTACTCAATGTCATTTTGAAAGGAAAATTAGAGCCAGCTCGGTTGGATTTTCCCATTAAGGTTGGTGTCGAAATAACTGGAAATCTGCACAGTTCCTTGCTTCGTCAGTACAATGAGATACTAGGTGGCAGCTAAGTCCCGCGTGAGAGCAGTGTGACACGAGGGGTGGTCGTGCAAGGGCTGAGACACTGTGCTACACCAGACCGCCCCCAGATAATCCGCCACACTGCAGCGAGGGAGGTAAGCATCACTCCTAGGGCACTGCGATGGAAACAAAGGCAAAGAGAACTCAGGTCCAACCCTGGCAGGTGCTGAGAGCCCTCCACACCCATTAGCTGCAATCCAGGAAGTGCTCCCCACTGTACGGAACCATGACCCATGTGATATGGGTTTGGCACTCCACACTCCTATGCTCAGACCACTATGGGGTCTCTTCAGTGCTGCAGCTCTCTCATGCTTTCCTACGTGGAGTTCACCTTCTGTCCAGAGACTTGGACCCAGGCACTTCCATCCTCCCCTGGAACTCAGTCGAGCCCTGATGGGTCAGGGGAAAAGACAAGCTGGAGATCAACATTTGGAGTCCAATTCCCCCGGCCAAGGGCCAGCATAAAGCCTGCAAAGTGTGCCCTTATGCCTCCGGCGCTGCACCCGGAGTGAACTGAAATGACTAAAGTTGCTTTCGATCATTATTAGATGCCAGCAGGGCTGGCCTTCTAGGTTACAGGACGCCAAACTGTTCTGAAGGGGGGGAATTGAGCCATGCATTACTGGAAGGGACCTATGAGCACGTCAGCTCATTCCCTTTCTGGTGCCATTGTAGGAGAAGGTGACAGAGCCGGCCTGTCAACTGCAGTTTCGAAATTCAGATGCAGTGTCTCCTGCAAGGCGCTCTTGCTCAAACAAACATTATGGGCTTGATGCAGGGACACTGAGGGAAATCCTCTAGCCTAAGACAGACGCCAAATGAGATGACAATGTCCCATCTGGCCTTAACATCCGTGAATCTATGACTCAGTATGAGCTTATGTGGGATGCAGAACACAAAACACTAGTCGTGGGTTCATGGCTGACCCTGGATGAAAACAATACATGTGATTTTACAACTCTGAAAGAAAAAGGTGGGTTCATGGCTGACCCTGGATGAAAACAACACATGTGATTTTACAACTCTCAAAGAAAGACAACGCATCTAGAGCAGGGGTGGGCAATAAGACATCGGTGATTCACCAGGGTTAGCCCCTGGCGGGCTGTCACTGTGGTACTTACCTGCACCTCCGCAAGTACGGGCACTTGCAGTTCCCATTGGCTGTGGAGCGCTGTTCCTGGCTAGTGGGAGCTGCAGGAATGGTGATCCGTGGTCAATGGGAGCTGCAAGCGCTCGTATCTGCAGAGGCACAAGTAAATACGGTGACAGCAGCCCGCCAGGGGCTAACTGTGGTGAACCATGTCTGGTCCATGGGCTGGTTATTGCCTATTGCTGATCTAGAGCCAGATGGGTTGGGATACTGGTAGGCAACAGAATAGCCATCTGTTTCCCATTTCAGTAGACTCCCAAGGGAGATTCCCACTGCACAGAGACTCGGTAAGAAAACAAGGACTCTGGGTACTCTCCCTGATTATCAGGGCCAGTAAAAGTTGTGCATAATAAGCTAGACATTTCAGAGAGCAAAATATTGCTAGTACAATAATGGTCATGTTCCCAAAGGAAGACATGGTTTCTTCTATTCATCTCAATTAGAGGCAAGCTGGGTCA